AGTGTCTATACCATGACGTAAGGCAAAAAATAAAACAGTAGATAGAAAGGCGTCATCAGCACTCCAATCCAAAGATTCACATTAGTGTAAATCCAATTTATTTGCAAAAGTCATAAAAAAAATAAACTCACTCGCTAAAATGTTTAGCGTATTTATGTCAGTTAAAAGCCATTCTCAATCTTTTTCAATCTGCAGCTTTCAGTAAAACAATCCCTGGTGATCCTGCCAAAGAAATCCTTATTCGGCCACTTCTGGTTATAGGGTGACAACGATGTGTCCCTGTCTCCCAATTGTGCTCCAGCGTTGTCACACTGGGCTTCCAAAAGGGACTACAAGTGTTCATTTCAAAACACATGTCAAGCAGATATGGTCCGCTGTTGTCACCATCAGGAAACCCGCGAGGATGAAAATAAAGGGAAGAGTCTTTTGTTTGAAACATGACAACCATTGATGATACACAGTGCCCGGGTGGGGTTTAGATCTATTTTATAGAAGAATATTTCATTATTATAGGCTAATATTATACAGATTATATTATAAGGTCGTATTATGACCTTTAAATAATGGCAATTAAGCTATTTCCAATTCAACACCCCACATCCTTCACGAGTACAGAGATAGCAGAACATCATATAATACATGTTCTTTTCTGTTTGTTACATTCCTTATTTTATAGCCGGGGGCTCTGTGGTTCTCTATGAGATGCAGAGGAGCCGGGACCACTGTGCAAGACTGAAGGGAAGGACGGAGGTCAGATAGAAGACTGAAGGGAAGGACGGAGGTCAGATAGAAGACTGAAGGGAAGGACGGAGGTCAGATAGAAGACTGAAGGGGAGGACGGAGGTCAGATAGAAGACTGAAGGGAAGGATGGAGGTCAGATAGAAGACTGAAGGGAAGACCGGAGGTCAGATAGAAGACTGAAGGGAAGGACGGAGGTCAGATAGAAGACTGAAGGGAAGGACGGAGGTCAGATAGAAGACTGAAGGGGAGGAACGAAGGTAAGATAGAAGACTGAAGGGAAGGACGGAGGTCAGATATAAGACTGAAGGGAAGGACGGAGGTCAGATAGAAGACTGAAGGGGAGGACGGAGGTCAGATAGAAGACTGAAGGGGAGGACGGAGGTCAGATAGAAGACTGAAGGGGAGGACGGAGGTCAGATAGAAGACTAAAGGGAAGGACGGAGGTCAGATAGAAGACTGAAGGGAAGGACGGAGGTCAGATTAAAATCTCTCATTGGGAAGAGATTAAAATGGCTGGAGTAGCTTAACCTTTAAACAGGAACTTCAGATAACATTTTAGAATGTATCTAAAATCAAATGTGCTAAAAAGAAGTTGTAATTCTAGATTCACTTAATTGGATTGTACTGTGGGTGAATCTGCCCTGTGGGTGAATCTGCCCTGTGGGTGAATCTACCATGCCATCCTTTATATATAGGAATCCCCATCAGACTGAGCCGGGACAATAGACTGCTAACAATACAATCTGAAATGTGAGACCCCCCCCCACCC